CCTATTTTCTTTTAATTTTAAGATACCATCTCCCTAAATTGCCCAGACTATGCTAGAACTTTCAATCCTCCTGCCTGGGCCTCCTGAGTGCTGGGATTACAGGCATGTGCAACCAACTGCACCTGGTCGGTATTTTTAAAAAAACATAAACTTCAGAAATTTAGGTTGTTAAAATTTCTGAAAACATCAGCAAATATGCAACACTTAGATAACTACCTCCCATGCTGCTGGCAAGGCAGACAGCACCAATTGATCAATGTGGCAGGCAGCACCAATCGATAGGGACGTCCCTTCCTGCTGAACAAAGCTTCAGCACCCTCCTAACACAGTTCCAAGCAGCCAGTGTGAATCAATTACTTATAACAAAAAGAAGCTGAAACATTTGCCATTGCAAATCTCAAGGGTGACCTTCAGAAATCCCTGGAATCATAGAAAATGACTCAGAATACTACCCTCAGGGAGTCCAGCCCTGCTGAGTATGAATTCTCTCCTGCGAACCTACCCACACCACCCTCCTCCTTGTTCCAGAGGGATTAGAAATCCTTCTAAACCACCCTCCTTTTTTCCCCCCAGAGAGAAAACTGCAGCCCCAGAGTTTAGAAGACTTGCTCAAGGTCACAGAATAAGTAAGCATGAGATCTGTCACAGTAAAATATAGCAGCTAGCGAAGCTGACTCCGGGCCCAGGGAATGGAGTGTTTGGTACCTTACCAGCTGGGTGACCTCACTCTGCGCCTCAGTTGTCTCATCCACAAATTGGGCTGCTTGATTCCTAGGGGGCTTCTGTCCATCTGGGTGGCTGTAGTGGAAACACTTCCAGCCCGGGGTGTGGCTTTGCCCTTTGCTCTTCCTTGCCCTCCAGGGGATAAGTGGACCTAGACAAGGGCCAGTGGGGGCGGGTGGGGGGTAGGTTCTGCCCTTCCTTCCCAGCACCTCAAGAATCAGTTCCCAGGGGCCAGGGAGATAACCCAGTAGAATAAGTGCTTGCCTGGCAAGCGCAAGGTCCTGAGTTCAATCCCCCACTCTGTGTAGAGGCTGAGGGCTCCTCCCAGCCCTGCAAAATAAACAAATCAGTAAGAATAAAAAGAGTCTCTCATGAGCAGGCTTATAAAACTTCTGGGCTCGTGCGGATGTCTTGATGCCGCCCGCGGGAGGGTGAGAGCCGAGACCCCAAACCCTCTTTCCCAGCCGCCCTCCCTCCTTCCGGGACAGGCCCTGTGGGTGTCGGAGGGGATCTTGTTGAGAAGGACACCGTCTGGCGCCGGGTAATCGTGCAGCAAATGGCAGCAGTTGTTCCTCCACAGGCGACAGAGGGGAGCCGGAGGCAGACCTGCTGCTCGGAGCCCGAAGCGCGCGTCTGGAACCCGGCTGCCCGGCAGCCGAGGCTGTGGGTTCGGCGCGTGGGATGCGAACCAGTCCTCTGCCTCTCTGCACCAGGGGCACAGGTCCAGCAGGGGAGGGGTGCAAGGACCCAGACGGGTAGTCCAGCGACAGCTCCCCCCGCCGCAGGGCATTGTAACCCACATCGATGCCAACAAATGAGGAAATAAATCCAGCCGGGCCCGGGCAGAGCTCAGTGAAGCACTGAATAGTCTGTGATAGGCAGAGCGCATTGTCGCTGCCCCAGCTGGTGCGCAGTTCTTTAGAAAGCGCCCCGAAACCGCACATTCTTCTGCAGCATTTTAAGTCGCCCCCGGAGTGGGGAGACCTGGGGACTCATGTATCCAGCCCCGCCCTCCGGCCAGGAGGAGAAGTGTTTGAAATAAAGTTTATTGAAGTTTCTGTCGGTATTTACATATGATACACGGTAAATAACAGAGCCAGGCCCCCCGCCCCCCTCCCCCCAGCCTCGTTAAAAATCGCTGCGCGAGACGGGTTAACTGCTGCCCCCAGATGCAGACTAAAAGCCCCGGCCCCCGCCCTCCCCCCCACCCCGGGGCCCCTCTGCTTCCGTGTACAGCGCTGTGCTACTCGCGCGTCCTGGACGGGGAGGGCGACGGCCTGGGGACCTCCCTTCCCCCCACCTGTCCGACGGGCGCGTGGGGGCTGAGATGGAAGAGATGGAGGGGAAGAGCGATGCCAAAAAATGGAAGACTGAGGCGAGGGGGCGAGGACCCCCGCTACTGCCCCTCCCTCCCCCGACGGGGCCTCGAGGGGGGAGGGGCGGGCAAGGCACCCCGGGACGCAGCCTCACCCTTGCGGCACGGGCTGGTGCTCCAGGGCTGCAGACCCGTGGGCGCAGGAAGAAGGGAGCGTGGGGAGAGGAGCCGGGTCCGGGATAGAGGTGAACATGAAGTGTCCCAGGAGAGCGAGGGGGGCCCAGCCCAGCCTCTCCTAGGACTGCACCCCATTAAACCAGCACCCACGGCAGGCGCTGCTGTGCCACAAGGAAGGGGACAAAGGGGTGAAGGGGAGAAGGCGATCGGCATTCCGGGCGGCTGCCAACCGCACTCTCGAGCCTAGCACCCAGCGGGTGAGCGGGACGTTAAGCAGGACGTTAACGCGCTGCTGGGCCCGGGCAACACGTGGACTGGGAGGTACGTACTGCCAGAAGGGGGGGGTTGCGAAGGGGAGGGGTAAATGGAAGGGACCAAGGAGATTGGGAAAGGCGCAGGACTACTGAACTGAGGTGGTGATGGGGCAGTGCAGCACCTCTGAGGGGGAGGAGCTATTGAAATAAGGGTGGTGGGCGTGGGGGGAGGAACTATTGAAATTGGGTAGTGGATGCTGCTTAGTGATGGGGCAGGGCAACATCTTGAGCTATTGAAATTGGTTGGTGGGTGTAGCCCAGCTATGCAACAGTGTAGCCCTCCCCAAAGGGGAGGAGCTATTAAAATGAGGGATGGTGGGCTTGGCCTAAGGTAATGAGCGGGCGGCACCCTCCATAGAGCTACGGAAATGAGTTGTGGGAGTGGCCCGCAGTTGTGGGGGCGCAGCATCCTCGAGAGGGCAGAATTACTCCAATGAGAGCTGGTGGGCGTGGCCCGCCTGATGAGGCTGCTAGGCGCCCCTCGCGGCCGAGGTCGGTGGGAGCGAGGGGTTGCAGAGCTGGGAGGAAGAGGAAGGCGAGGGTCAGCAGAGTGCGGCCCCACGCCGGCCTCAGCAGGGCGAGGTGGAGATGTGCAGGTGGTCCGGGTACTTGATGGCTGGGGGATAGTTCTGTGTCATCTGGATGGAGACGTCGCTGGAGATGTCCGAGGGGCTGCGGCCTCGGCGCCAGGCCTCGGGCTGCAGGAACTGGCCCGAGTAGTCGGAGCAGTCGCTGAGGCGAGGGCGGTAGAAGGCCGGGTGCGGGCGGTACATCTCCTCCTCGGCGTAGCGCTTGGTGAACAGGTACACCGACATCACGCCGGCCCCCTAGGGCGCAGGGCAAGGGCACGTTGCCAGTCACCCCGGAGCCGAGAAAGCAGGGCGCCCCCAGCACACAGGGCTTCTAGTCTCCAGCCCCCTCTTCCTCTAGGACCCCAGGAGTTGGAGCTCCGGCCCCCACCTATCTGGGGCTCAGGGGTTAGAGCCTCAGCTTCAACTTCGCGCGCCCGTAACCCAGAGCCGGCCCGCCCTACTCCTCCCGAGCAGGGAGCCAGCCCCTCCCCTTCCAAACGCGAGGCGAGGCCCAGGACTTCACCTCTTTGAGCAGGAAGGAGGAGGCAGCGAAGGCAAAAGACCACCCGTAGCGATAATGAAAATACTGCTCCGAGCTGCTGGGCCTGTTCATGACCTCGTCATTGATGCTGGAGATGTAAAGAACTAAGCCCACCACCAAGGAGAGGCCTGGGGGAACAGAGTGGAAACAGAGGGGTGCCCCCCCGGATTTAAGAAGGGGGCCCCGACCTAGTCCACTGCCCTCCCCGCCTCCTCCTGCCCAGACAGAATTGGTCTGTCCATGTGGCTGTAAGGTGGGCAGCAGCCACAGAAACCTGGCTGGAGAGAGTGGGTTTCGGAGCCACTCTGCAGGGCCAGGCCTCCACGAAAAGGCCCCAGGGAGCTTTGTGCATACAGCAACCCACTCGAAACACACAGCAACGCTGAGGGAACTCATGCTATCTCCTCATGGGGCTGGGGAAACAAAGGCACAGGGAGAGGGTGGGAGGACAGCGCGGCGCAAGGCAGTCATTATCTTCTCAGGGTGACCTGGGAGAGGGATGTCGCTGGCCCTAACATGCACCAACTGGTGTGTATCGGCTCCAGAATTCTAAGAAGAGTGGCGTGTGCCTCACACACCCAGGACAAACCCGAGTCCCTTCCACTGTCTGCCGCAAGTGCACTTCCTGTCTCCCAGTGGTTCCCCAGCAAGGCCCCGCTTTTCATCATTAAAGGGCTGGAAGATGTATCACAGGAAGAATCATGTTTTGCGGCCTGTAGACAGTCTATGAATCTCACTTGTCAATTTCTCAAAACGGTAAAGGCAGGATTACCACATGACCTGGCAATTCCACATCTAGCTCCACACTCAAAGAGACCCAAGAAGAGGTGTTCACGCTCAAGTGTGTACACGGAAAAGAGAATGTGCACATCACTGCTCATGACAGCCAAAAGTATTAACGACCCAAACATGCTCCTGCGGATGGAGGCAGGATAAAAGAAACATGCTCTACAAATGAGGAGTATTCTACAGCCAGCAAAGGGAGTAAAGACTGACTTACGCTACACAGGATGGATCTAAAAATTGTGCTCAGTGAACAAAGACAAAGGATCACAGATGATGTGACTCTGTTGTAGTGAAGCAACCCATATAATGGAAAAGGTGGGGACAGGAAGTTGATGAGCAGTGGCCAGTGGGAGGAAGGATGCGTGTGGCCGGGCTGCTGCGGAAGGAGTGGTTTTTCGGGGGGCGGGGGGTGTTGACTGTGCAATTAGCTAAGGAGAAGTATGCACAGCGCTGTGAAGCTACTAGGAGCCACTGGGTTCTGTGCACCATGCAATCTGTGAATTATATGTTAAATTTTAAAAGTACATGAGGGGCTGGTGAGATGGCTCAGTGGTCTAAAGCACCTACTTAGAACAAGCTTAGCAAAGCACAAGGACCGCAGTTCAATCCCCCAGCACCACATGCCAGCCAGCCCCGCCCCCTGGTGGGCTGAGCTGGCCACACACAAAATAAATAAATAAATAAATAAATAAATAAAATAAATTAGTCAAAGGGTCAGCCAGCATGCCTGTAATCTCAGTGCTTGGGAGGCTGAAAACAGGAGGGTCGCTGTGAGTCTGATCTCTGTAGTGAGACCCTGTAGACCTGTACTAATTATAAAAACAAAAACAAAGTGAACTCAAAACCAGCCTGAACTGCATAGCAAGACCTTGTCTGAAAATAAACAATCAGTTCACTAAAACGATGCTAAACTACACAAAGCCCCCTCTGTCAAGCTAAGCGCGGTACCAATGGCAACTGTGGAGACGCCATTCCACAGTGACCGAAAGGTCTAGGGTGGGCTGGGAGATGGCTCCGTGGAATAAGTGCTTCCCTGGCAAGCACAAGGGCCTGAGTTCAATCCCTGGTTCCGCCAAAAAAAACCCCAAAAAAACCCAAAAGGTCTAGGGTTCCAAACCATCACCAGTGTGCTCCGTCAAGGCTGGGAGAGGCTGCCCTCTGTACCGCAGGTGGGAGGCAGGAGGCCCCAGAGAGGGCCCCAGAGAGGGGGTGCTGGCATCCTGCAGAAGCCCAGCCCACGTGTGAATTCCCCTGGGAGTGTAAGGCTACTTCTGCTTCACCAGGAGCGACAGGCTGCAGGGCCCGATGCCCTTGAGGAGCAAGGAGGGGGGTCTGGGGCACATTTGGGCACCAGGGCCCGTGCACTGCAGCCTGAGAGCCAGACACAGCCGGGTGACCGCTGTAGAGGTCCTCGCCATCACCAAAGAGTCACGTGCAAAAGATCACTCAGTATGCTCTTTTTTTGAGACAGTTTCTCTCATGTAGGCCAGCCTGGCCTCAATAGGTAATGATCCTCCTGCCTCAGCCTCACGGCCGGAGAGGTAACAGGTGTGTGCCACCACAGTGGGGTCTGGATGCGGCCTTTCCGGCAGGAAGCGTGTATAAAAATATACAACACATCTGCTTATTTTTGCAAGGAAAAGAAACAGATGTGGCTGGTTGTCTTTAGGAGGCAGGTGTGAACAAGGACAAGATGGGACTATTTATTTTTATATGGGCTGGATAAATAACATGGAGGGGGACTAAGAGTACAACCAGATGTGGCGGCACGCGCTTGTCAGCCTGGCTCTCAGGAGCCAGCCTGGGCTACATAGTGAGACCCTACCTCAAAAATAAAATACAGGGCCGGGGAGATGGCTCAGTGGAATAAGCGCTTCCCTGGCAAGCGCAAGGGCCTGAGTTCCATCCCCGGTTCTGAAAAAAATAAAATAAAATACAAACAAATAAATGATTCTACTTTTACGTCAGATCTGATCCCAGGGGTGGGACATGATCCCACCGACTCTGAGCACAGTGTTTGGACTATGCAGCTCCACTTACAGACCTGCAGAGAAATCTTGCCACTCACTTAGAGGCTTGTGTCGGGAGCGGTCTATGGGCAGCATGCTGTCCTGAGATTATTTCATGAGATTGAGCAAACTGCTAAAGATCCTGCCACCTTGGGGCGCTGGGCTTTCTCACTCTGCAGGAAGAGAGGTAGAAGGAACAGGCTGAGGGCATGGGGTGCATCCCCGTAACCCCAGTGCGCAGGAGGCTGAGGCAGGAGGACTGCCGAGCGTGCAGGGCCAGCCTGAGCTATTTATTAAGACCCTGTCTCAAAACAGACAAAAGGGCTGGTGAGATGGCTCAGTGGTCTAAAGCACCTACTTAGAATAAGCTAAGCTAAGCAAAGCACAAGGACCGCGGTTCAATCCCCAGCACCACATGCCAGCCAGGCCCGCCCCCTGGTGGGCTGAGCTGGCCACACACAGACAATAAATAAATAAATATTAAAAAAAAAAATAGACAAAAATGTTGAGGGCAGATGGACAAAGGACACTGGAGCTAGTCTCCTGGCGGGCAGCTTGAGGGCACCCCCAAATCAGCCATCCGAGTGAAAGCGTGTTACAGACCCATGTTTAAAAGCGGGCGAGTCCACACTGCTACTTGCTAAAGTGAAGATACTAATGGGAGCAAAGGCAGTTTGTTTCCCAGTGGAGGATCTGCCTGCGGGGATGGATGAGTCAGCAGCAGAGGCAGCCTGGCCCTGGCAGTGATGTCAGAGCGGGAGTCACCAGGATGTCAGGCTGGGGGTGACCCCAGGATGGAATGATACCTTCTCCCTAAAGGCCATCTTCTCATTAAAATGAATTTTTTTAATGAATTTTTAAAAGCTCATTAAAATGAATAAAAAAGTAAAACAAAATAAAGGTCATCTCCGCAATCCACTGGTCCCTACCTGTCCCCCAGTGACAACTGACAGGCTGCTGCTGATGGTGCAGAACTTACACGCTGTAGCAGACAAGGCAAGGTGGGACAGCAATGGCGGTGCTCCCCCCAAGCAGCGAGGCAAATGTCAAATAAGAAAGGGAGAGGGAGGAGGAGGAGGGGAGAGGGAGGAGACGAGGAGGAGGAAGAGGAGGGGGAAGAGGAAGGGGAAGCAAGGGCTGCAGACAGTGTGGGATGCAGGGAGGAAAGCGGTCACCGCTGGCTCTGAGACCCAGGACAGGCACCAGGTATGATGTCCGGAGCACAGGGCGACTCTGGGCCCAGCAGGGGGTGCTCAAAAGCAGGCACGGGCTCAGCAGCTCCAAGGGGCCCCGGAGGTGGGAACTGTGAGCTAAGGCGGCCAGCAGGGGACAGGCCAGGTGAGGGAGGAGCGATGCTCAGATCCTCCTAGAGGGGTATGGAGGAAAGCTAGGACCTGGGTGGCTCCAGGGCCAGCTCTCCTGTTCCAAGTCTCCCTGGATCACGGGAGAACATCCTGACCTGTCTATCCGTGATGTTATTTAGTATTACTTTTTTTTTTTTTTTTTTTTTGTATTTTAGGGAAGTGTCTACAAGGTCTTCAGGGTCTCACTACTAGATCGGACTCGTAGGGAGCTGTCTATTGACAGCCTCCCAAGAGATGGGATTACAGGTGCGCCCCGCCACGTCCAGTCTCAATTGCGGTCCCAGCGTGCCCCGGGGGTGGGACCAGCGAGGCAGGCCCAGGATCCAACCCCCGGCCCCTGCACCTACTTGCCCGCGCTTTAATACGCTGAGCTATTTGGCTGGCCCATGTCGGTGATGTTAGATACAGGAGAGGGGACAGACGGCTCCAGAGGGAAGGGAAACTGTCGCTGCTGCCCAGGTCTGGGGCAACTAGACAGTCAGACCGGGATGAAGACGGTGGGTTTTCTTGTCTGTGAAGCATTGCAGCCTGTATGCAGCTACACAGCTTGCTCTTTTGAAAGAGAAACATACAAGGAGACCAAAGAGACGGAGTAGGAGGTACAAAGCAAGATCCCATAATGTACTGTCAACTGGAAAGCGACGAGCAAAGACAGCGCTGGGGTAAGAGGTGCAACTTGCGGGCACTGTGACATAGGAGCCGCGGTCCCCCACTGACGCGGAGGGCTACGTGCAGACACCCTCACTATCCGCGAAAATCAGCAAGGTAGCGACCTTATATTTATTTTAGTATATTTTAAGGCTTTATAAACTCTTCCCAGGGCCGGGGAGATGGCTCAGTAGAACAAGCGCTTTCCAGGCAAGGGCAAGGGCCTGAGTTCAATCCCCGGTTCCGAGAAAAAAAAAGAAAAAAGAAAAAAGAAAAAAGAAAGAACTCTTCCCACACTTTTTTTCTTTTTAATGTACTTGG